CGCCCGGCCGTGGTGCGCGCAGCCGCCCAGATGAGCGCTGGGACCGGCCGGCCGCGCCCGGGCGCCCCAAAAGGGACTACAAACCCACTGAAGAAAAAAAAAAAACCAAACCAACAACTACAAACAAGGAAAGTCGGCAACAAAAAAAAAAGACCACAAAACAAACAAAAAAAACCCAAACTAAAACCCAAACCCACCCAAACAAAACAAACCCCCCAACAAACAAAAAAAACGCCCAAGCCAATCCAAAAACCCAAACCCAAAACCTCAAACCAAAAAAAAAAAAACCAACCCAAACAAACAACAAACCAACCCACAAACACATCTTACTTCTTTCATCCCACAGGGGAACTCCAAAAATGGAAAGGAATCATTTGGAAACAGTAATACTAGCATGCTGAATTTTCTTTAAATATAACCACAAACATCACTTATTTGTAAGAGAAGATAACATTCTAAGTATTCAGGAAACCCAGATGATACCAAACCAACAGTAATTTCAATTTTGATGCTCTTCACGCATGTAATGTTTTCTGTACCATTTGGTGTGTTAACATAAAACATGAATTAGAAGTCTTGCGAACGGGCTCCACCACGCCAGTAAAAGCTCAGTCTGCAGGAAGGAGCTCAAGCGTGGACCCAACGTGCCATGGTAAACCCCGCCAAAGTACTTGAACTGACTCACTGCAGAGCAGGCGAGGGACCGAGGGGCTGGTGTGGCTTTTCTTCCACTTTCAACAACTGCTTGTAGCCCACTCCCTCACCCTTTCATGGTAATAAAAGACATCTCGCTTTGCGTTTTGGAGGGCTGTGCAAATGCTCATTACTGTCCTGTGCAGCACAAGGGAGGGTGGGGAGGGGGGAGCAAAGCACTTGGTGAAGCACTGGGATCATACAGTGAGTCAACAGAAATCACAGGAAAACAATTATTCCTTCGCGCTAGCCTGTGAACACAGAAATTAGGGCTCATTACTGTCGAAACGTCCAGTGGATGCAGTGAGTAAATTTGCCATGTGAAAGGAGGGGAGGGGGGGAAAGAGAGAGAAGGAAAAGAGAAAGGAAGAGAAAATAAATCCTCAGTCTGTGTTTTTACCTCCTGTTCAGAGCCTGCTCTTGAGAAGCTTGGTGGCCCTGCACACCCCATCGTTTCCATACATCCACAAGACCTTGCAGGATAAGCTTAGGGACCCTAAGCCACCTTTCAGCTACACTGAGTTCAAGCCTGAGTATATATTTTGCTTTTTGGTTTAGGCAAGTGTTAAAAAATACATCAGAGGAAGCAGTGTTTGCATTAATACAGAGCCTGTATTTCTGTGGAAGAAAGCACTTGAAGATGACATTTCGCACCAGGGTAAGTCCTCCACACAGTCAATAATATAAATAAATTAAACACATGGTTCAGCCAACTCCAGGAAAAAGATAAATTACCTTATTTAACCAGCTGTACTGGCAGGAGCAACAGGCACAGGAAACGACACACATCTCGGAGCCTGTATCCAGTCTGCTGTTCAATTTGCTCCTCGGGATCCCCACAGAACCACAGATGCTTTGGAGTCCGACTGCAAGGCTGGGCCTCAGTAGCTGGCAGTTGCAGAGAATAAATATGACATTCCATTAAAAATTTAAAAAGGCTAAATATGAGTTTTATCTTGATAGCATAAAGTCAATTTTTAATACACTCATTTCCTCAGAAAGCAGGCACTTCCAATTCCACCCAAAGAACCCTTCAAAATCTCTCTTTTATCAATGATGGGTTTCACTGAATTATTTACCAGATCGCAGCTGCCAGAGATTTTAAATATACACATGACAAGGACTGTAACGGATAGCAACCTTCTCCTGCAGGCCTATCAGCGAGGCTGGCAGTTGCACCGCAGATGCCCCAAGCTGATCCCGTCTCCTCTCAGCACAGCGCAAAATTGCACGCTGGGGAGCAGCCTTTCTGCGTCACCCTCAGACAGGCCCATTTCTCAAGAAATGAAAAATAAAGACCACCATTTTCGGAGAGATGTTAAACTCGTGGGCAGGAAGGTGTCCTCCGGAAGAACTAGAGGTGCTTAAAAGAAGCCCTATTGTACAGCAAAACAATCGTAATTGTAACAGTCCTGGAGTGCTACAGGAAATGCTTCCCAGTTTGGACACCGGACTGTAAGCAGGGGTCTGGGCTCCCATTCTGAGCCATGTCCTGCCCGGCAATCAGAGCTGAGGCACCACACCACTGGTCTGCTTGCCACCAGTTTGGCTGTTGTTTCTGGTTAGATCATAGGTTCCTTCAGGTAAGGACTCTCATCATCTGCCTGTTCGGCATTTGAC